CATTACAGTTTGCAAAGCAGTTTTGTGAAGTCATTTAACCATTATAGTTCAGTACTGTATTTATTGTTATACCGAGAGGAAGACTGAAGTTCACTTAAGGGACTTCCCCTAGGTCACCCAGCTGGCAATTAAGTGGCAGTGTAGGGACTCAAACCAAATTTGTCTGGCCTTACATTCTCTGCTTTTCTGTCACAGCACAGTAGTAGCTGTAAAGTTCTATGTGGAGAAGTTACCTTTCCGTTAGTAAGTCGTCCAAGATGGCTCTGACAAGTGCCTTGTCCCTTTCTTTTTACACCTTTGTCTCTGCCAGGATTTCTTTGGGATGTAGTACTCAAAGCTTGTGATTAAAAACAGCTGCAGAAACAAGAGGAAAACATCTCCTAAAAATAAGTAGCACATTGGAACACAATGTGCATGGACTTTTAGGAGATGGACGAGTCTGTGTGACATGGAGTGGCCACGGAGCAAAGCTTTGGATCTCAAGAGGTGTCTTTCTGTTGTCAGCTGACCCCCAGGATGCTCCACAAACTTGATCTCAGAACCAGAAGCAGAAAAATTGGACTCATCTTTCCACTAAGAAATGAGGCTTCCCTCAGGAGTTCAAACTGCTTGCAAGGTAGAACCTAATTAGCCCATGTAGATTATGTTATTTAATTATATGATTGGTTCAAAAGTATTTAATGAAATAGGAAAATGCTCACCAAAAAATATTGAGTGATAAAATAATATGATACAAAATAGTATAATAAAAAATTTATTAACATTTTATACAATCACACGCACACACTTGGCAAAAAGACTGAAAGAGAATAATACAACTCAGTGTTACAGGAGTTATTTCTGAATGATGAGAGATCAGAGTTGAAATTTATTTATTTTTAAATATTTTTCTGCCATTTAAAATTTCTATAAAGTAAACATACACTATTTTTATAATCACAAAAAGTTATAAGAAAGAAGTAGAGGTTGGTTTTTCTTGAATTGATTTAATTTTAAAGTTTTTGCTTATTTTCAAACTGTAGCTTTGTTAGGAGAAAGAGGAAAATTAAATGAGCTACAGAAAATTTGCCACAAATAATAAATTGCTATCAATATTATAAATTCTGTAATAAATTATCAGATTAAAATTCAGAGCTACCATAACAAGTTATTCATAGAACACTCCACTTCAAGCTTTTCAATTTATTCTGAATTGCCTAGTCTACTTTATAGAGTTTAGATAACACATAAGTTGTTTCATTTTGTTGTTGATGTTTTGGTTTGGTTTAACTTTCCTAAAAAAATTTTACAAACAAATCCAACCCTCCATAGCTAAAATTGAAAAGCAAACAAACTAGATGATAAAACATCATATGTATATAAATTTAATAGAAAGGTAAGAATTACATTTTCTAAAGAGTGTTTTAATGAAAAGAAAGATTTATATTCCTAACTTATCTCCATAGATGAAGCAAAATCTGCTAAATATGAGAAGTTTGAGTTGATTTAATTCTAGTTTAAAAATAAAAACATGATTAAAATCACTACAATGGTTCATTAAATATTTATTGAGCTACATATGTGCTTTCTATGCTACTGTACAAATTATCACAAACTGAGTGGCTTAAAACAACACAAATTGATTACTTATGGTTCTGTAGATCGGAACGCAGACACAGGTCTCACTGGGCTAAGTAATTAACTAAGGTGTTAGCAGGTCTGTACTCTTTCTGGACTCTCATGGGGGAGAATCTGGGTCCTTGCCTTTTCCAGTTTCTAGAGGCCACTTGTATTTCTTGGTTCCATTTTCAAAGCCAGCAGTTGTAGGTTGAGTCCTTCTCACATTCCATCACCCTGACCTGCTCTTCTGTCTCTCCTTCCACTTTGAAGGACTCATGTGATTCGATTGGGTCCAGGGGGATAATCTCCTTATCTCAATGCCAACTGATTAGCAATCTTAATTGCATGTGAAACCTCAATCCCCTTCTTCCAAGTAAGGTAACCCATGAATCATTACACTGCCTGCTCTGTGCTAGACGTGATGCTAGGAGAAGTTGGGGAAGGGAAGAGGTGGCTCCAAAACAGGCTCACGGTTAGAAGGTGAGGTCAGCCATGTAGGAGAATACCTCTAATACAATGTGAACAGTGATTAGAGTCATGATAAATTAATATGCAGAGGCTTGCAAGGGGAACATGGTTCCCTTTAGCTGGGAGACTCGAGGGAAGTTCACCATGGATTGGCATTTGGACTGGACCTTAAAGGATAGGTAGGATTTGGATATAAAATGATGGGAGAGGAAGCAATGGTATTTCAAGTAATAGATATTAAATCAAAGCTAATGAAATAACCATTTTTGTAAGGGAAAAATGGTCAAATATTGACTTTTTCATTCAACCTCGTGCATCAAAACAAAAGGCAGGGAGGCAAAGACAGCAGTAAATGTCACAGGAAAAATTCGTAAACCCTCTTGTACCTCCTTTCCAACTCAGTCAGAATGTCTAGTTTATTTTATTTCCTGTTTATACTCTTATTTTTTTCCTTACACAACCTCGAAGGTGCTAGTTATGCAGTTCCCTTCTGAGAAAAGTAGCCTCTTAACAATTTTTTACAGCTTATAAAATAAAACTTTATGCTTTGAGCTGAACATATTCTCCTGTTTTGATTGGACCAGCTGGAGCTAAAGGCTCCCTAACAGAGAAATTCCTACTGGATGCCAATCATCTGGCCCTATAAGATTGTATCTGCTTAGAGCAATTGAACAGGAGACCAAGAGAAAGCAGAAACTGGGGAAGAGGGAGAGTGAGGGAAAGAGAGAGAGAGAGAGAGAGAGAGAGAGAGAGAGAGAGAGAGAGAGAGAGAGAGAGAGAGAGAGACATTAGCAAGTATTGGCTGAGATCTGCCATTACATCCTTCCAATAAACTCCCATTATTGAAGGTTTTCTGAGTATGTATCTGTTTCCTGAAGTCCATGAAAATAGCATTTGGCATGTTTTAAGGAGGAATCATGAGGTCTCACCAAACCTCTGAGTCTATTGTGCCTGGAGGTTATTTTGGTTATTAAGATTTTCCTATCAATTTGATTATTCATGAGCTGGAAACAGTCTTTCTAGTAGCCAAGTGCTTTTCTTTTGCAGCTTATCACACATAGCTCTTATCGATTTTCAGATAACTACCTATAGAATTTTCTTTCTCCCAAGTACTGGATAGATTCTGTATTATATCACATTCTTGGTCTGGAGTTACAAGAATAAAGATGGTTCTGAACCCCAATGTCTAAAATCCAGAGAACATAGCACCTGCTGGATGGTGTTGCCATGGACTCTGTCTCAACAACCAACTCTTAATAGCAAAAAGGAAAGATATGGTTAGAATGAATTACAAGCATTCACATTCAGATTTGTGGGTATTTTTCTCCTATAAAAATAGAACTCTATTAAAACTCAAAGTATAGAAGGAGTCATAAGGGCTGCTGAGTTACAAAGCAGACAAACCCCTAAAGAAAGAAAATAGACTAGTTAATAAATTAATTCAAGAAAGAATAAAAAAGGTACCTAAATGAAAGAAGATACCTTTGAATGGTATTATTAGTAATTACTATTATAAGATGGAATAAAGTGGAAGCAGACAAGAAGGAAAGAGAAAAGAGATGGTTCACAAAGCGTTTCTCAGAAATTTAGAAACAGGAAGACTTTGAAACAACCGTATTTTATAATCACAAGCTTCAGGAATTATAAAAAGGACATTAGAAACAATGACCAGAAAACTGGAAATCATTACCAGCCAATGGGAAGAAATAGAAAATAAGCTCACAGATGAGAGGGTAAAAATAGCTAAAGCCAAGAAATTCCATAAATTGGGCTTTAAAACAAGAGAGGGCCTTGAGGATTGGAATGGTCCCCAAAGTATAATATATATGTAAATCTGAAGGAAGTGAAAAAGAAAATTGGAGGAAAAGAGGAAGAAAAAAAAAATTCTTACAACAATACTGTTCCCAGAGAACTATCATAGAAACAGCTCAAGAACGCCTGCAAAAAGAAACCCAAATAAAGGTGCACCCTGGTAATTAGTGGCCCCAAATTTTTGCAGTCCATGTGCAAAAGAAAAGATGTTAACAACATATGGAAGAAGAAAAATGTTATCCTGTACAGCTCACTATAACAAAAACAGGACCATATTTAGCAACAGCCAGTCCAGGAAAAAGCAAAATTTATGGACCCTGAGTTTAATACACGAAGCAAAATAAGAGACCAGCCCAGGCTGGGTTTCCGGCCAAAATACACCTCTGCATTTCAGAGAATGAGAAGATTTTTGCACAGCTAGAAAGTTCACAAAACTTAATCTTGGTGCTGAAAGAAAACATTCAGAGGTCTGAAAAATGTGTTATTCTCTTTCCCAAGTGGGATTAAGCCAAGATGGTGCTAGTTAGGTCTACCAACTATCCAGGTTTGGCAGGGACCAACGGGTTTCCTAGAAAGCGAGACTCAGTGTTAAAGCCGAGCCAAGACGGCCCTGAGCAAATTGGGATGGTTGGTCACCCAAGAACTAGTTTCTTCCTTGTGACAACCCAGGTATCTTAAAATTAAGAGAGAGAGAGAGAGTTTGCTAAACTCTTCAGGTACTGCACTTCAAATTTGTTTTATTCTGTCTCCTTGGAAAACGTTCTTAAAACATTCAGCACTTGATCGTTCACTCATTCAGTTAAATATTGATGGAGGGCTTTTTCGTACCTTGGGCTGGGTGTGTGGTTGCAATAGCAAACTGCTTTTGCCTGCATGGGGCTTAGAGGTGAAGTGGGAGAGCAGGGTATGAAATAAACAAACACATATGTGCAAATAATTGGCAATGTGATAGTATGAAGGAGAAGACCAGGATGATATCATTGAGAGTAACATAGAAGATGTAATTGAGAGTGGAGGAGGGGGAAAGTTCAGGTCAGAAAATCCCTTCTGAGGAAGTGACCTGAAAGTGGAGACCTGAGTGAAGAATGAAAAAAGAAGCCAGACGAAGAGTCAGGCTGCAATTCCAGACAGAGGGGCAGGCAGCACATGCAAAGGCCCTGAGGCAAGAAGGAGCTTGGTAAATTAAAGTAGTTGAGAGAAGGCTAATATCTGTCTTAAATTAAGATCCCCTTAAATTAAGGGGAAAGAGAAATGACTTTACCCTTCAGCTGGAAAGCCAGGAGTACAGGAGTGATGGTGGTAATAGTGGTCTAAGCTGGGATGGGGGGAGGGGTGCGGGGGGAGAGAGAGAGAGAGAGAGAGAGAGAGAGAGAGAGAGAGAGAGAGAGAGAGAGAGAACAGAGGCTAAAGGTCAATGGTGGATAGTGATCCTTTTTGCTTGAACTCCTCTTATAATATCTAAAGAAATCAATATAACTGCCCTGGGGTCTCTCTGATGAAGACACATTATAAAAGGCTTTGGAACACAGATGGAAGCAGAAGCTCTGAAACAAAGCTGAAAACAAAGGAATGACAGAGACTTAGAAGAATGTGTAGTGGAGGATAAAACGCTACTGAATCTTAGATTTGCAAAAATGAAGGGAAAAAATACAAAGGCTGCTTCTAGCTCTGCTAAGTGCCAGGAGAATAAGCGAGGTATTAAAACATGGGCAAAACTGTGGTGCTAATGGATAGTGT